GAGATAAGATTTGCATTAATATGTTGTTGATCTAGGATCTCCAAAAGCTCATGGAAGCATGAATTCGTATAAATCAAAGGGTCCCCTGCAAAAATTTAGCCTAAATGTTGTTTTTGTATGTTGAAAAAAGCATAAATCAATACGCAGTATTGAAAATTCTTAAAATCTTCCAGGAGTTTAGATCTTGAAGTTCTTTATACCCAAAACATTTTGTGGGATACAAAGATGTGTTACCAATATATTTAAATTGTATTGGAGATATTGTACAGGTTAATACATATCTTGTTCGATTTTCACTTCAGAGCATTTTGAGTCTCCATTCGAAATATAATTTAAGATTATCAATACGATTAATTCGACTTAATGATAGAATGGGTAAACCTTTTGGAAGCCCCATAATATAATTGCCCAAGTAACAATGTTGGTTTTATCATGGTTTGTAAGAGGTTTTATAGGTTTAGAATTGCCTTAAAGACCACATTGAAATCGGAAATGTTGCTTGTGTGGTTTAAAATATTGGGTTTTTCAAAATTCCTGGAGTTTAGATCTTTATTCTTTTTTTTTATTAATTTATATATTTTATTATTGCTCATTTCACACCAAATTGGACTAATAAGCGCGTTTTCACTTACTAAAAAGTGAGATAAAACTGCAAGTTTACGTCTAATCGTCTTGGTGTCTTCGGTGCACTTATTCCTTATGATGCAAGCAATTAGTGCTCCCAAGACATCAAAACGATTTGACGGAAACGTACACTTTTATCACAATTTTAGCATTTTTGGGACAGTTGAGTTTCAGATGCAATCAGCAATATTATATATTATATTATTATATATATCATATTATTATATATATATATCATATTATTATATATATCATATTATTATATATATCATATTATTATATATATCATATTATTATATATATCATATTATTATATACTAGCTGAGTGTGCCCGGTCTTGCTCGGGATTCAATATTAGCTTGAGTTTAGGCACCGATTTAAAAAAAAAAGCATGCTATATTGTACGTAGCCCCCCCCCTATTATCTAAGGGGCTACTCCCTATGATTATCTCCTTATACCCCCCACTCGCCCCCACATGCCTAATTTGGTTCCATTTGCTTGATTAGTTCTCGAGTTATGCAGAAATTTCTGTTTCATTTGTATGGGAGCCCCTATACAAATTTTCACGCCAATCGGTTCAGTAGTTTCCGAGTCTATAAGGGTCAGACAGACAGACAGACAGACAGAAATTCATTTTTATATATATAGATAGATAGATATCATATATATCATATTATTATATATTATATTGTTATATATAATACTATATATAATAGTAACTTTAACACTCATTGATCATTCGTGACTTATACCGATTAGATTTAAGTTCATAATAATGATGTTTGCCCCTAGGTTTGAGCTGGATGATTTATCTCTAAAATAATCAAGTACATTGTCTTCAGCGTGAGAGGTATGGATTCGATCTTTATATTTTACAGGCTAATCAAGGTATTCTACGATATCCTGACTAATCTTGTGTACCTGATTAGCACAAAGTGCAAAAAATTATTTTTAATTTATCTCTGGACCAATCATCTCATGATTTTTTTAAGTTCGTTGATTGTGTACGGTGTCGAATATTTGCATGCCAAGCATGATCGGGTTGCAAGGAGTTTGAGATCGGACATTTTTTTTAATTGGCATGAATTTGCTTCTCTATCTTAAAGTAGCTTCGTGACAAGATATGTCTCGGTTAGGCTTTATATTAACACTACTTTACTCGGAAAACTGTAGCAAAATAATTCATAAAATGTTCATCCAATGACGACAACCAAAGGAAATTCTAAAAAAATACTCTGTAAGCTATCTTGGTAGCTCCACATGCTCCAACAAGTGAAAGAAAAGAATAGATTTGTTTTGTAATTTTGAGGAATTTTGATACTTTACCACAGTGAAAGCATAATATGAAAATTGTAAACAGAAGTGTAAACAAAGGAACATAATTATGTATATTAAAAAAAATGATTGATTCCATGTAAAATTGCCAGTTTTATAAGGGTTTAAATGATTTTTGAAGACCAAATTATGGCCTACAAGACTATGATAAAACCAAAAATGTTACTTAGGATGAGTAAATCCGAATTCCCGGTTTTTCCCGGTTGGAAGGACACCCTGCTCTATTCGTTCTTCATGCCTTTTCATATAAGGTGACCAAATAGCACTTCAATATTCTAATATTGGCCTCACATAGGCAACATAAAGTGTTTTAATTGTGTAAGGATCTTTAAATTGGAAACCAAAACGCTATATACAATTAAGCATTTTACCTGCTTTAAGAATTATCGTGTTATAATGATCCACACATGTTAATTTAGTATCAAGAATAATTCTTAAATCTCTTATTTTATCACATCTATTAACAGTTATATTACCTAATGAAATACGAATATCTGGTTTTATTAGCTTTCTACTGTACGTTTCAAGGTTAAGGTGGTTCAAAATATCAATTGAGCCTAAATCAGGTCCTGATCATTCTCCCAAAATTTGGGTTTATTTGGATGTGAATTCATACTGGACTGACCCTTTGAAATTGACATAGTAATTACTATGGGAAATACGATTAAAAATAAAATTGTTTGTGATCACGTGAACTTTATATTTTATTGTAGTATGAGTTGATTGCACTCGCCACTATAAAGAGTTTATTTCCTAAAGCTGTGAAAGTTTTATAAGGCCCTTATTTTTTTAATCTGGGTTCTTGGAAAATGTTCGTTTTGAATATTTATTCTCGTTCCAGATTTTTCTACATTTGTCCAAGTCTGATTTGGTTAGGTCCAGGGTTTCAAAACATTGTCAAAGTTCAAAATCTAAAGTAATTATTTATATTTCAGAACACTAATCAGGTTTCAGAATTTATGGTGCTACTGATGATAGTTCAAAATTTGTATGTTCAATGAGTTAAATTGAATGACGGGGAAGATAAAGTTAGTTGTATTATGTATATATCTAGGGGAAATGGCTCTAATGTTGGCCTATGGATCTAAGATTGGGACCATCGCTAAAAATCTGCTATTTATCAATTTTATCTAGATGAACGCGTCATTGGGACGGTACTAATGGATATTTTTGGTTTCTATTGGAGATTTAGTCGATTGCTGAAATTATGTATGGGTCCAAATTAGGGACATTTAGGCCGACATTACATTGATTTCCCCTATATCTTTTTCGGTACTATGGATTTGACGAAGTAAAAGTTAAAGGAAGTAAAAGTAAAATGAAGCACACAATGGAATGAAGCTTATACTAAATACGCGCCAGAATATTTTTTTTATTCTGTAAGTGTGATTGCATTCCATGTATCCAATTGATATATCGATGTGTTCATGCGGGGCTTATTGTATATAAAGGAGACCTCAGAATGTACGTGTATGAACAGGCATTCTTGAAATGGGTCGTTGGATGTACAGTAGAGCTATCACCTTCCATCGCCAGGGCTAAAACTGTTTGCATCTATGTGTAAAAATAGGTGCAAACAATTATCTTTCATAAAAGCACTGCCGACCAGTGGGAAATGGATTGTAGACACACACAGATAAAGTTATAAAATATTTCGAAATTCTCGAGAAAGTTTCTCGGCGTACTTCTATATAAGTACTGTATCGAAAATAAGTTCTGTCCTTTCCAAATTAATATAAAGAAAAGGTTTTTCAATTAGCGGCGCCGGTGGTGTAGTGGTAAGCGTGATTACCTCTCACCCCAGCAGGCCTGGGTTCAATCCCAGTCGGTGCCGTCGGGATGTTCTGAGGCATAACATCCCTAATCACGCCTTCCTTCGGAAGGGAAGTAAAGCCGTTGGTCCCCGGTTCATGAGTTGATGAGTCGATAGGTAGGGTCCAGGTGTGGGAGCTGCCTCCCTGGCGTCGGTAGCATTGGTGCTCAGCACGGAAAACAAGATCGACGGAAAACAAATCAAAGAAAAAAAAAAAAGTTTTTCAATTATGGCATATGCTTCTAAGAAATTAACTTTACAAAAACAAATTCTTTTAGGTAATTTTATGGTTCTAGATTTTGGTCTTCTTATAGATTTTGGACAGCGTATCAAAACAGGGTTTTTGGACTTTTTGTACTCATCGTACATTTTTTTTAACTCTTTCGTGATCTTATAAGCCTTAGTATCCATGGAAAAGCTTGTGGAGAAAATGCTAAAATTTTCTGAATAGCAATAGCAATGGAAAAGCTTGTGGAGAAAATGCTAAAATTTTCTGAATATCAACAGTAAAGAGCAGCTTCATTAAACCTTGAAATAATAAAAAAATATACTGGAACGATCCGTTAATAGGTGGAACAACACCTAAGATGATACCAGTTCCTTTAACGTTTATTTTTCATTGACTACTTTTAAACAAGGACATGACATAAATAAAGAAAGAACTGTTTTTTTTATAAAACATATTTTTTAAGGATTTGGACGGAAAAAAATTAATTACAACTTATTTTAGATACAGTCCTCATTCTATTCTAATTTTGAAGAATTGATTGATGCTTGAAACGAGAAAATTCCCTGAGAATTCCAGGATTGTCCAGGAAAAATAAAATTCCCTGACGATTTCCGGTTTTCCAGGTAGTAGATACCCTGAGAACCTCATAGCCTAGTCAGTAAAGACACGGTCTTACCAAGCTGGAGGTGACGGGTATAAGTTCGATTCCCGCTCCGGTCGAGGAAATCTTTCGGGTAGGAAATTTTGTCGACCTCCCTGGGCATAGAGTATCATTGAACTTGTCACGGAATGCTCTCAATTAATAACTGTGGATGTGCATCTAGAACACTAAGTTGACAGCCGACAAAACGTTCGTTACAGAAGAGAAACATATAAGATTTCTGAAGATTTCTTAAAGTGTTAGCTACTAACAACAGCCAACGATATGGTTTGACCTACAAAAAAAGAATCCAGCAAACATAATCAAAAGTACCCTGGAAGGAACGCAAATGACTCACCTTGCCGCAGACTGGGTGCGGAGTTCGCTCGCTCCGCTGTGGTGTGCCGTCGTTGTATTTGGTTGTTCAAGCAGCTTCCGGCTTGTCTACAGCTGCGAGTTGCCGCAAGCCTGCTTGCTAGGGTGCTTACAGACGACGACGGCTCGATTGATGTTCCTTCTTCTTTTTCAGATTGAAACTCATGAAATTGGCTGTTGCTGCGTACTGTGGGCCACTATTATTCCTTTTTCTGCCTGCCCACAGTCTTGTTTGGCGACTTCCGCCGACAAAAGCGGGGCGCACACAAATACAGCACACCTATGCGCAACCGTAGCCGATAGGATAATTGTTTACAGTAAGAGTGAAACGATTTATTTTGATTTTTTTTTGCTTGCTTCCAGCAGACCTATATTCGCTTTTCTCACACTAACCGATTTGCAAGGAGAAAGTTCACGAAAAAGAGCACACACACCGCACTAAGCACTTGCACTGATTTGATTTCGCATAGATTGACTTTTCTCTTCTACTCTTCCTTCCGTACGTACAACTCGGTTTCGGTGGTCGTAATTATTCACGTGCTGATTTACCTACTACGGCTATATATTTCTTCGTGTTTCTATCTTCTCTACACTGCACCTAATCCAGATTGATGTAAGCTCGAACTGCACTCGATTCCGGAAAGAAAAGCAGGACGTCTTCTACTTCCGGGCGTGGAACCAGTATGCGATCTGTGAATAAACAAAATAGATCGAGATGATTCTCTTTGTGGATATGTAACCTTTAAGCATGAATTTGAATAACAACAAGCACAAGGAGCACCACAGCAGCAACTATGTAAAGTTTCGATTTTCGATTAGAGGTCATATTTAATTGCCAACCATGTTACAGCGACCTCATCTCGATCGAGTGCTTGCATCTCGTTGGCAGCCCTACCCCAATAGTAAATAAATAACATGATTGTTGGGGTTCTGCAGTCGCCTAATTTTGCCTTCACTCGACCCGAATTCCTTTCCCTTTGGGTCGAATAACCAGGCCCACCATTCCACCAATACACACAGAAACCAGAAAATGCAGACTTGTGTAGAAAATTCCGAGGTTAGTGCTCAAGCTACGCAATGTTGCGTTATTAGTTTCAGTGGTTCAAAGTTATAGCCAAATGAGTTCAGTGTTTCTCTCGCAGCTACACCGAAGATGCGACCAACTCAAAATTGAGTTGAATTTGTTGAATTGAGTTGAGTAAAATTTTCCGAGCTTATTCAGGAAAAAAACTTCTCGAATATGAGAAAAATCAAGAGTGGTTTCACTTATAGCTAATTTGTTTTTTTTTTTTTCATTCAGTTACAACCTGGTTCGGGTATCAAGATTGAGTTGGCTTGTTTTCTGTCAAACGTCACTGTAAACGCACGGGATGGAAGTGGTTCCAACCTGGATAGTAAACAAATTCGCTATTAGCTTATTAGTATACTCCTAAACTGAGTCGAAGTCAACTCAATTTTGAATTGATCGCATCGTCCGTGTAAGGCAATGATTGATTTAAGACCAATATAGCCACCCTTCGTGGGGTAATAAAATGTTAAACAATCGATTGACAACCGAGATTAGAGAATACATTTCTCTAACATGGCATCTTTTAACATTTATATGATCATACTTATTACAAATAACTATTTCTGCAGCATTTAATTTAAGAAAATCTTGTTTACAGCTATGTGGTTCTTACGTAATTTTAAAAGCTTTCCATTTGTTGAAAACATTACGACACCGGAAAAACGTTGATGCCTATCAAGCTAATCGGTTTTGACGGGCCAAAATTGCGCTCCATTCGTTTCGTTAGATGAAAACAATCGAACCACGCAACACTGCCGTACCTACCACCTAATACACTACAGTATTTTGCTATGTTATTGCTAAAGCCTCACAAATTTCCATAGAAACAACACAAACCGGCGGTGACTGAATAGTAGATAGGTAGGTACCGTAAAATGGGGGTGAAGTTGATCACTACATCGTTCAATTTTCGATTCTAGTCAATCATTTTACATGATGTTGTTATACGTTAACTTGTTTAGTATTTCATTAAATAATTAAAAATAGTACGTTGGAAACGTTTCCCTTAGCAAACGATGCAATCTACCACTATACATGTACAATTTTGTGGAAGTTATAAACATCCTATCAAAATCAGCATTTGTTCTGGTGCTGTGTTCGTTGCTTATTTTATTTGATTTTGGTTCACTGAATCCGAATCTGAAATCAGATTTTGTTAAAATAAATGATTTCGTACTAATAAAATAATTTTATGTTAAAACTTATGCTAATTGCCTACATTAAGGCGTATGTTTTTTACTATTTTGCAACAAAATATGCCATTTATTTTTACAACAAAATATGCCATGCCAACACAAATCAAGTATAACTCAAGTAAAGTAACTTCTGAATATTGCATTGCATAAAAACCTGCATGATCAACTTCACTCCAGAAGTGATAATTTGCATTATTAATCTTATTTTAATTCTAAAAAAAAACTAAATTTGTACATTAGAGAAGCATTTGCTAGTACAGGTTTGAGTGGTATTTATGTGTGTGCCAACATATGGTTGGATAAATATTCAGGTCTATCGGTAAAAACTGATCATATTCCCCCCGTTTTACGGTACCTACCTAGTCTGTCTATAAGAAACACACGCATGCGATTCAAAAACGCGATTGTTACGAAAAACAAAACAGAGAGGTAGCCATCATCATCATCATCATCATAGCCATCGTCAGACGAAACCTATTATAACATACAACGAAAATATGATAGTGTTGGACCAGTGTGCGCACTTCGCTAACCGGCTCAGGTCTCAACTGAATAACGTAAGTGGCCATGTGGATGAACGTATGTACTGTACATAGATACAGGGTAGATACACGATGTAGAAAAACAAACTTCTCCAAACTGAGCTTCTGTTGTTGTGCAGACAATTTAGGGTACACTAGATAGGAAGGGGATGTGGAATGCATTATTATTTCGCTACAATCCCCACTGTTGCGTCTTGTGCAGCAAGTCACCATCATTGGGACGAGCATTGTGTGATATCAGATGGCTTAGTACACAATTCCCATAAATTTACGATACCTCCACAAATAAGAGCCACTCATACCATTGCGGCCTTTGTGGATATGACGTGGAACGCAATATATGTATATTACACACATTCAAACGTCTCAGATGTGCGAGCTTTATCGGGCGAAATGTTTACAAAACACTTTAATGGACTTTGATAAATCTTTTACACATGTGTTTCCTACTACCATGGGTGTTGCGCAGCTATTGAAGGAATTCGAAAACACCCCACAATTATGGATCATGGGTCGTTCCACTTATTTCAGTACTGATGCTATTCTGTACTGGGAATTGAAATCAGTGTACTTTAACTACGCAGAGAATATGAGTTATACAATCCCACAAACATTCAAAATTAATCAAACACAATGATTCCGCAGCAAGGTTTCAAATTAAATGCTATTAGGATCGACAAGACTATAAGACTATAAGAAAATCATAAAACTAGCAATGCTAAACTTAAAACACATTACGACAGCCACCAGAGTAATTAAGCTTGAGGCAAAGGCACGCAAATCTATCTGTCAGCTGAGCTGGGATCGCAATTGTGCTCAACCCACCAGTCCGACGATTGTTGTTTTTTTTTCACGCGGACTAGACTGTTTTGAATTCTTTCTGATATTTACTGCTATTGGCTGGTTTCGTATTATATGAGCGGTAGGTGCTCATGGTTGTAGAGAGTGCTGTCTGAACGGCATGTGAATGGAATTATGATTAGCACCAGGTTTAGGTTTGGTAAATTCATAAATACTCACCATGCGACACAGTCAGGGCCATACGGTTGGATTGAACGAAGCAAGAGATAACAAAGAACGTCTGGTTTTGAATCCAAGGGTGTGTGTAAACCGTGTAGCGGAGACTATCTAAAAAGGGTGGACTATTGAGCTATGCAGCATTGGTAGCATGTGGATTTACGATCCACATATTTTTCTTCAGGTTGCTTTATGATCCGTTCCGCTAGCATGACAATCAGAATCGGTTAAAGTGAAGCAAAACTAGAAGAGGTATTTTGTTTGGGAAAACAACGTACACTTTCTGTACAGGCTATATCTTGAGATCCTGGGCATCTAGGAAGTTGTTGTCTTAGACAAAGCTGTTCACGAGGAATTTACGCACTAGGCAGCCAGCGATAGTGTGCATATGAGCGTCAGCACCATCAAGAAAGGTGCTATCTTCGTCAAAGCTCTTCAAGAGATTTTCGGAACAAGAACGTCGTATACAGGCCGAAAAGCGATGACTGACAACATTTGTTTGTATTGTAGTCACTTTAACATTTTTATGGTCTATGACTTGTTCGAAGATTTGATGTCTGACAATATTTTTGAATCCATGATGGTGACTTCCAGTTTGCGCAATAGCTTTAAGTCTACTTATTTTGCTAAACAAAATTTCCTGAGTTTTCCAGGTTTTTCATTTCATTTTCATTTTGCAGCGTTTGGTGGGGCAATGGGAGCGCAAGTCAATCCAAAGCCGAGGATAAAGGACGGGTAATGGCTGAATAGTCTATGCGGACCACTTGAACGCCATGGGAAAAGAAAGGGATTGAAGAGGCCGGTTATTGGGGGGTTTTGAGGAAATGACACATAGTGATGCTAAATGTAAAGAAACCAAAAATCCATCTCCCACTGATTCATCCTTTCACATATATACCAAATTGATATTTTAAAGCAATAATCAAAATAAACAGACAATACATGAAAAGGCTAGTTGCCAGTTGCTTTAAAGGCTAGTTGCCTCCCTAAGCGGACCCTCCGCATACTAACTCTTCTGTTAATCCACTTAATGCTACTAGGCTGTCTAAATTTTCTCATTTAAGTTCGTTTGATGATTATGATATCTCTAGTCTAATTTAATAAATAATTGAAATCTCTAATCTACCTACCATGCTTTATTAAGTACCTGCACTTGTGAATGTAATCTAAAATTTAACGTGTTAAGTTGTTTCTGACTTTGACCTATATTTAATATATATTAGTTCGTCCCAGGTGACACCTTCAAGTGACTAAAATGCTTCACCTTGAAGTTAGTTTCCTAGCTGATTTTTAAATTATATATGGTATATGCTCCAACAACGCTCACACGTTTCCACTATGTCGTCCCACAAAATTACGTATGGATATGCCACAATAGAAGCACGCCACAGTGGAAATCTCGAGCCATAGTTCAAACACTTATCCCAAATCAAAATGAAGCACATATAAGATTAGTTACAAAACCATGTACAAAAATGATGTTTAATATTGTTCCCTGAGTAACACCTCAATGAAAACAACAACGAAAGCTTGTCACGCAAGTAGAAGGAGCACTGTTGGGCACTTTCTGAAATATTTTAATAGTATAATTCCCTTGCAAACCCAAATAAATCTATCTGCGTAAAAATAAATAAAATAAGAGTGATTTGCGGCAAAACCCGCCAGTATCGCACCCAACGTCAGTGCCTATACGTAAGCGTACTACAACGCGGCTTTCAAATAAAGGAGTAACAAGTGTGATACTATCACTTCAGGCTAGAACTTTGGTTATCTTATGCAATGGTTCATCAGAGCGGGGAAGCTCAGTAATCCTCATCACATGCTCATGACGCTATTCTGTCATGGCATAAGCCAACGACGCCGGAC